GAATGAAATAAAAGTTTAGTTATCTGAGAAAAATACAAAGTTTAGTTATCTGAGAAAAATAGATCATTTTGATAATTGATTGATAATGCATTCATAAAAAAAACGAAACGAGAATAAGGACTGCTGGAAAAAGTAGATGAATAAAACAAACCATTAGGCTGAATTTCTCCTCTAATTTATCTTTTCAATTTAATGACCATACCCTTCAAGACCCTTCAAGATAAACAGTTTAGTTTATTGTAAGACATCTTAATTGCAAAAAGTAAAATTATCTTATCTGGTTTTGAACGATTAATTAATTCTGAAAAATTACTCCATAAAATTTATAGGAATTCTTAATAATGAAAATTTTTCATCGCTTTTTTGAATTTGCAAAAATTTTACGAAAAAATTCGTCTATACTTCACAAAATCTATTCAAATATATAAGAAATATATTTAACTCATATATTGTTTCATAAACTATCCCAATATTACATACTCTACTACTTAACCAAAAAAACTTTAAAGGTAAAAAAATTAATAAAGTTAAGCTGCTAAATTCCCTTAAGTTTGTAATAAAAATACAATTTTATGCTTGGTAAATATCTATTTTTATATGAACATTGAATATGTTAGTTTTTATTTTTTTTTTAACTTATTTGTTTGTTTTTATTGTCTCTTATTTTTCATATATAACGGAGATTATGTATGTCTGTCTATTGTATATATAACGGAAATTGTCAGTTTATTTGAATGACAAACATGAAAGTTTTAAATCTTTATATTTACTTTGATTAATTCAATGTACATAATTATAAAGACTTTATATTATAATAGAGTTATACGCAATTTTTTAACATAAGATTATTTTAATCTTTTAAAGTCTGCATAGGGGCTCTATAATTAGATTGTGACAACTTTAATCATCCGTTCATTGAGCCCTTGCTTGTTTTTATAAATCTTCTCACTAGGATATATAAAATAATTAGATATTGTAGTTTATCCTCATTCAGCTAATTGCTTTATAGAGGCCACAGACCAAGGTCCGCAAAGACAAGTTCAGCTCTCTAAAGAGCATCATAACCCACTTTGATGGACCAAGATAGGTGCGTTTAAGGAAGGAAAGAATTAAATAAAGTAAAAAAAAGTAGCCAAGTTAAAAAGATAGCTTAAAGAAAGCGAACAAACATGTATATATATTTATTTATTTAGAGAGTCAATAAAAAGTAAGATTGTAAATATATATAAAATAGTTAAACAAGTTTGTAAAAATATCTAAAATAGTTACAAAATAGTCATAAATTATCAAAATCTACGGTTTAATAAGTCTTCATATAAAACCTACAAAGATTATTGTTTTTTTTTTTTTGTGCCAGGTATTTTTACGTGGAGTAAAAATAATTTTATGTTTTTGATTAAAAAATATTTATTTGATTCGACGATATTTTATATTTACTGAAGTAAATATAAAATATCAGCTTTTATCTTTTAAAATTAGTAGTGCCAAACAGTAATTTTTTTAAGCTAGGTAAATCCAAGATTATATATAAAAATATTTTGAGTGGCCATAAATATCAGTCGTTGCAGGTACTTTTTTTCCTAAAATAATCAACTCCCAACAAAGCTGTAAACAACCACTGTTTAGGTTTGGAGTTACTTATGAACAAAGAATACAGTTAAAGTGAAAGAAAACGGTTGACAGAAGACTTTAAAAACTGCATGAGTTGGGAAAACAATAAAGATTGTCAATGCTGAATGATGAGTCAAGCAAGAATGAGTTTTTATTGGTAGAACTAGAAATAATAGCTCGTTTGATCAGCGACCATAATAGTATTTGTAGAAAAGAGAAAGCCATGCCAATGGAAAATGTCTCAACCTTTGATGGAAAAGAGCAGATTCAAGTACATTTACGCTTTTAAACTTCGTCAAGTAGAGAAAAGGAATCTTTAGAGGAATCAGCACAAATATGACAATAGGTCCCATACATAGACAAATAAGAGATTTGTAGCAATAATGAATAGAATCACTAGTATGTATTAGATTCAAGATTGGCTGCCTGTTCTAAGCGATCAAAAAGTAATGACCTTTTGATTGCTTAAGACAATGTGTTTTGTCGTCAAATAGAGACACTTTCGTTGTAAGATTGTCAGGAAGATTATTAACAAAGACGTGAAGCAACGTAGGATTAAAAATATTGCGGTACTTTACAATTTACTGGAAATAAAGACCAGTGTTGGCCTTTGTGGATGACTTTGATATTATGACTATTGAAAGAAATGATTTAATAATGTGAAAACCTTTCATGATACATCATATGAAGCAACCTTGTGGAGAAGTCTAGCATACCAGACTTTATTGAAGTCTTTGATTTGTTAAGAGCAATAGCTATATCATCGCGACCACTACCTAAAACACAATAGAACCTTTTTATTATCCCGGTGGAAAATGAGCTAGCGATTAGCGAGCGACTTGCTAGTTTTATAGCGATTTTCAAGCGATTTTTTTTCTTATTTTATTTTTTCCTAATGTCTTTAACATCTTTAAAAATTCGATTTTAAGTATTGAATCTATTATAATTATGAGAATAATTGAACTTTAAACATTGCAAATTTGTAGCAATGTGTTGCTTGAAACATATCGTAGCTTTGTAGCTAGCTTTAGAATATCTACAAATCTATAGCTGGTTCATAGCTACATATCAAAGTTTTTTTGAAAGTGATTTTATTACAATATAACGCTAGCTACAATAGTCTGTGGGTCTTTAGCTTATTAAGCTAGCTGTCCTCGTAAGCAAATCGCTGTTTTTATCTTTACAAATATCGATAGCTTTTCGCTAACTTAAAAAAGCTAGCGATCTTCGTGGCCAAATCGATGTCTTTATTGTTACGATTATAGGTAGCTATTCGCTAGCCGATTTCCCACCGGGCATAAAAATTAACAAGTCATTTGTAGAACGAGAGGATCGAAATCCGTACTGAAGTTGTTAGACTAAAATGAGATGTTAGAAATTTGCTAATTTAAGACTGAAAGACTTTGCTAATAATAAAAGAAGATTGATTAGATGATAGTTAGCGGAGCCAGGTTGTTTACCAGAGTTTTTAAAAATTGGAATCGCAGATCCAATTTTCCAGCAGACAGGAAAACAAGATTCAGTCAAATAGTTATTAAATAGTTTGGAGAGAACTGAAGAGAGTTCTGGAAAACAATTTTATAAGACTATGACAGGAATGTTATCTGGACTACAAGCACTAGATAAGTTTAAGAGAAAAATAATTTTAGCAACGGAAGCTGAGGTGATGTCTAACAATGGATTAATTTGTTACTTCATGGTGATAGTCATGGTGATAATCATGGTGATAATCATGGTGATAATCATGGTGATAATCATGGTGATAATCATGGTGATAATCATGGTGATAATCATCGTGATAATCATGGTGATAATCATCGTGATAATCATCGTGATAATCATCGTGATAACCATGGTGATATTCATGGGTTGAATAAAACTTGACTTTAAACCGATATGAAAGAATAAGAACTTTTTTACCTGCTTGAAGATTACGATCCAGGAGATTACGTAGGAAGCGTCATTTTCAGCAAAGAGACGAAAGACATTAGCCATGGAATATCACAAAGAAAATCACGAGTTAAGGTGAGTAATTAGGGTTGTCTGGAAAACGAGTCATAAAGTTATTTATCTGAGTGAAAAATTAAGAAATATAAAATGGTTAATGGTGTTAGAGCCAAAACATTTAGTTTTTTTAGTATTAAAGTCAAATAACAACAGTATTGACTAAAGAGTAAAAAAAAAAGGTTTGGTTAATTTAATCAAAAACAATATTGAAAAGTGTTCAGTTTTGAGAAAAAGGAGAGCGATAAAGAACAAAGAGAAAGGTGATTGAGTGGCTTTATTTTTCATAAAACGCTTTATCAAAATTTTAATTTGCAGCAGTTTTATTCCGAAAAACTTTAAAATCCAATTCAGGGCCGACGACACGGGTTTCAAAGTGAAGGGGTACAATTGTCAATTTTAAAAATTCCTCTATCTCTGAAGTTTTCTTTAATAAAAAAAAAGGTACTTTAGAACAAAAGTTGGGGGGGGGGTAAGTACTTTAGAAAAAAAGTTTGGGGAGGACCCCTCCACCCTCCCCTATCCCGGTGTCGTCAGCTCTGCAATCTGCAGAAAGTTTAGATTTAATTTCTAATTTAGTTTAAATTTCATTTCTAATTTAAATTTAATTTATAGTTTCATATCGAGGGCCAAAAGCATGGAATACCTTTCAAAAAGGATTCGAGGGGATTAAGTTCATTTTAGTTTACAACAGAAAAAGATATTTTTGATTCTTGAGAAAGGTTTTTGGTTAAATTTACTCTGAATAATTGTTTTTAAACCTGTTCTTGTTTTATTTTAACTGTTTGTTTGTTGCTTCATAATCTTATTAGCGCACTATGGGCTCGTCCATAAATTACGTCACGCTATAGAAGGGGAAGGGGAGGGGTTGGTGGTTTTGTGACGACTCATACAAAACTTGATTCTTAAGTATTACAATTTTGTGACGAGGAGGGGGGGGGTGGTCAAAATTGGTCAAAAATTGCGTGACGTAATTTATGGACGACCCCTATTCATTTTGTTACGGCGTTTTATTGAAATTTTATTACGTATATTATAACATATTACAATATCTTTTTTGAAATTTTGTTAATGGGGGCTCTATAAAAAGATTACGATGACGTAAGGCCATCCTTTTCTTCTTTGAGTTTTAATCATTTTTAAATTTTATACTATGATCTTGTAAAAGTTTTATTGTATGTTAAAACGCAGAAAGAAAAAATATTAATATTAACTTAATATTAATATTTTTTCTTAATAATTAAGTTCACCGATAATATAATTTTTTTCAGGGGTTCAGTAGTGACGTATGAAAGTGTAAGTAAAAACCACGTCAAACTGTTTATTTTAAAATTGCGCGAAGCTATTAAAGTGTATTCAGTACTTGTAAATGTTTGTGTTTTTTTTCTTAAAGAAAGCTTGCAATTGAAAAAATTATTTTTCGTTGCTAAAAATACAACCCTTACACTTCTTTCCTTTTTTTAATTTTCAATAAGAAAATTGTGATCAGAAACTGCACCAACCTAGCATTGTAATGTCACATGGAACTGAGTATTACATAACTTTGTACAATCGTCGTTTTTTCGAAATTAGTAACAAAAGAGAAATCTTTTTTTAGGTTAAATTTACTAATAATGTTTAAAAGTTGTTGCAGGTGCAATTTCGTGAAAATAATTAATAGTAGTTACTTATTACATGGACCAAATATATATTATTCCACTGTAGAGATAGCTTCTGAGAACAATAATATTTCAATAGATAAACCTAAACCTGACATTAAGGCAAGAGTGAGAGCTAAGAAAAAACCGACTACAGATGTCATCTCTCAAAAGGTAATGTTGTCTTGCATGCATATACAATTTTTAGACTTCTGTTAATTGTTCTAATAAAACGAAACTTTTATAATTACTCTGACCACATAAAACAACCCATAAAAAATACAAAAGTATTACATTCTAGAAATATATAAAAAAAAAGTAGTTGCATACTTATTTCTTTATACAGAGATACCTCATACTTATGAGGTATCTCTGTATAACTATTACTTATGTGCTTTACCAAGCAATATACAATGAACAATAAGCAATAAAGCAATATACAATAATCAATGTCAATAAATAAAAACTTGTAAGTTGCAATTGCAATTAGCTTGATAAATTTGTGTTTGTATGAGAATAGTTTTGTGTCTTTGCAAATATAATATGTTTTTAATTAATAATAAAAAAATATGTTGTTACAGCTATCAGACAAGTCAAAAGAAAGAGCAGTTCCTTCGAGCAGGATTTCGCGTATGCTTAACTATGGAGGTAAAATATTAGTTTTAAATTATTGATAAATTATTTGATTCAGAGGATATTTTTTATTGAAAATGTTTTCCTTTTGTATTTATCCTTTTCAAATGGTTTGACTTTGTATTAAAGTTATAAAAAAAAAATTAGATACTATAAATATTAAGTTCTCCAATAATTTGGTGCTCAAAATTTTTGTGCACCAAATTATTGAAGAACTTGGCACCTTTTGGCACCTGCTGTTTTCAGAGAGTCATGTAGAAAATAAAAGTGTCGTAACAGTCAAATAATATATATCAACCCTAAGAATTAAGAAAAATGAGGTCGGCGATAATTTGCTGACCTCAATCTTTTATAGGTTAGCATCAGGTTGGAAAAAAAAATTTGAAACAAAGGTCTTACTTTAAAACATAGAAACGAGGTCAGAAAAGTGAAGTGTTCCAGTTCATATACTTTTCTACAAATAAATTTAAAATCAAATAGAAACATAGCAATTGGAGCTTATATCAAATTGTAGAAACTGAATTTACATTTTGCTTTAAAATAATTGTAATTGGTCTTTTTCTATTTGGTTTTAAGTTACTTTGTAGAAAAATATATCAATTGTAACTTCACTTTTTACGGGCGCTCTTTATATAAATGGAGTGTGTTTAGTTAAGTTTTAAAAGATAAGTCAAGTTTTTTTATATAAATTTAATTAAAGAAAAAAAAAATTCATAATTATAATATATGTAGTATATTTTTATCTTAAAATCTAAGGGTGATTCTTTATTTTTTTTTAACGTTTTTTACTCTGCTATCTTCAGCTGATCAATGACCCCTTAGCCAATTCTTTACATATTCTTCTGGTTGAAACAGTTTAAGTGGTGGTCTTTGTATGTTCAAAAATGATAAATTAGAAACCTTTGTTATGAGAAGTTTATTTCTTGTGTTGCCTAATATTATATTCATGGCACTGAATCCTTTTTCACATTCAGCTGAACTGCAAGGAATGATTTTTAAACACGACAACAAGCCTTCCAAGTCAGCCTGTACTTTTCGGCCACTAATTATTATATAATCCCTGAATGCATTTAAACATGTTGAATATTATAACTGAAACCTTTCACATAGAGCCGCATATCTAGTCTCCCAAAATTGACAATATTAGTTGGCCATTCACTTGGTTCTAAGATTCGTAGTTGGGTTAAAATATTTGGTTTCAGTTCTTTGTCATCAGTAATTAACCTTCTTCTCATATTAGTCATGAGACTCATTTGAAATTGATTCCTATTGATAATTGATAATAACTTTTTTATTGTTAATAATTAAAGATATAGAAACAAAAGTTATTGTTTCACATGCCTTTTTGGCCTCTGTTAACTTATCCCCTTTTTCAGAATTTTTTAATAAATCTCAGTACCGAATTTATTATTTTGTTGGCGTAAACTATATTAGCGCTACTTTTTTGAAGTGCTTCAGACAGTATGAATATTTCTTCAAGTGTATCATGCATTAATGCTAATTTTATTAAAAATTGTTTATTACTCATTTTTTAAAATAAGCCTGTAAATGTGGCTTTCACTACTTTACTTCTTTTTTTGTCTTGACAACCTTCTTTAAAATAATTGCATAATGCTGAAAATTTTTTACAAACCTCTGGAACAGTTCGAAATGAGCTAACAACCCATCTCACCCCTAATACTTTTCCTATTTTTAAAATTTTTTTTACTAAACTTTCAAAATATAATTCCAATTCCCTCTGATTTTTCGGAGATTGATGGTACAATGAATACAAATTGTCTATGAATATTTGGAAATAGTTAAATCTACTTACCTCCATTATAGTGTTGCCCACAGAAAACTCAATCCTGTGATTTAAGCAATGTCAGATAATTAAGTTTGTATTTTATTGAATAATTTTTTTTTTGCAACACCTGCATTTTTATCTAACATTACACTAGCACCATCACTTGTAAAACGGATTAAATTATTTATTAGGTAATTGTCATCAAAACCAAACAACTCTAAAGTTTTTTAATAACTTTTCAGTTATTAAAAACTTTTAAGTGCTTGCGGTTTGGTCTGGTAGTTCAAATAAATCCAGGAAAACATATTCTTGGCTTTTCTTATCATTTACAATAAATTCACTTTTTAAAATAACAATCAAAGTAGATTTTTCACTCAATGTGGCCGATTCATTAATAGTAGTTAAAATTTTTTCATTGTCTTGGATTATTTGTTGTTTTGTAAAAAAATCATCTATTATTCTTTTGAGTTTTGCAGCCATTCTTTAATTTTATTACTTTCAATAAAAATAAATAAAAGTAAAAAAAAATGAAAAACCTGGAAAGAATTAATTATTATTTTAAAAATTTACAATTAAGAGAATAAAAGTTAATATACTCAATTGTATTAAAAGTTAATAAATTTAAATAAAATGAATTTTTAATTTATGCAAACTTTGCTGAATTTTATAGATCAAATAGAATTTATTTACAAAAGAATGCATTCTGTCTGGGTTTTTTCCAGACGGAACTTGTTCCGGCAGTAAAAAAGTACAGAAAAGGTGTTTCGGCTCTATGACATCACTGACTGTTTTAAGATCTTTTCACTAATGCTGCTGCATTTCTATCAAATATTGTATCTACTATTGCTGTATAGATTTATTGAAAAATGGAGCTAAAAAATGTGTGTGTAAAGTATGGTTAGACAGTATCAACTGGAAACTAGAGTAAGCGGTTGTTCATAAAGTGCAGACCTTTTTATTTTGACCTCCCCCTCCCCTGCATTTTGCTATATGCTTTTTGAGTACCCTCTACCTCCCTAAAAATACCTACGGCTTTAGCCTACTTACCCAACATTTTATAATTTTTTTTTAAATTTAGTGTCTCCTTACTTTTATAATTTACCACCTGCCCCCCGTCTCATTTATGCCATTGGTAGACCCCTCTCCCCCTCCGAGTGTACTGAATTGAAGTGCCATTTGGCAAAAATGGACTTTGAGGACAAAGGCTAAAAGCAGATGAATTCATGGTCTAATCAAAGTTCAGTACCTTCAAAACATTATCTTAAGGTTGTTTCAACATAAGGCAATATCTTAAGGCATATTATATTTGATTTAATACTAATTTTATCAATAGTTTTATAATGAACTATAAATCAATTTATTATTTATTTGATTTTATAAATTATTGAAAATAATTTACTTTTTTAATTATTTTATATAAAATTATGTCAACATGTTTAGGATCTGAATTTGATTTTTTTTTTAATTATTTTTAAGGATTGGTTGCTGGTTTGGGGCTTGGTGCTCTTAGTGAGTCAGTAAGGAAACAAATAGGACTGAGTGCTGGTAATTTTCTTTCTTATATATAAAAGTAGTTCAATGTAATCTAAAAACGTTTAATATTAAAATAATATTTATTTTATTCAAAAAGAAGATAATAATAATACAATATTGTGTAGTATTAACCTCTAGTTATTTAATAACTAAATGGACCTCTAGCTTCTATCTTTTAGCTTCTATCTAGCTTTTTTCCTCAAGCCTCCATATTAATGTTTGTTTCAAAACTTCCACAACATGAATTTGTTATAAATCTGTTATTGTATAATAAATGGTGTTTTGACAAGACTATATAATGATTTGGGTGGGAATGTATTTTTCTCTTTTTGGATTTTATTTAATTTTAAGTTGATACTTATTATACATTATATTAGAATTATACAATATATATGTGAATTTATTTTATTTTCAATTATTTACACAGAATAAGCTAATTCATATTAGAATATTACTTTAAATAAATATCCTATGATAAAATAAATTTGAAATTACAATAAAATTAAAATAAAACAAAATTTTATAAAATATTAAGCAGTTTAATAAGATGTTGCTTACAAAATGCAAAGTTAAAAATAACAATGTTTCAAGTTAAAAGATTTTGCATAAAAAAAAGGAAAAATTTTTAAAAGTATATAAATCACATTTACACTCATGATTAGGGATTGCAATCCCGGGCATGAATTACGATCCTGGGATTTCGGGATTGAAGTAAATAAAATCCCGGGATCCCTGTATCCCGGGATTTTATATAATGTGAGTTTGCTAAAAAACAGAACTTAATACTGCATATATGAATATACTTTTTGATGTTATCAATTCTTTATTTAATTTCATTATGTTTTAATGACTTACATTAATTTTCTACGGCGCCTTAAATTGTTTTAATTGTGTAACAGGCAGCAGGTGTATATAAAGATCTTAAAATAATGCAGAAATATATATACGGTACCTTCCATATTATTTGAACATTTAAAGTGTATTTGACTAAAGTAACTAAACAATCAAAATTTTAAAATAAATTTGTAAACATAAATTTTCTTAAATTTGGGTAACGATGTAGCTGCTGTAGCAACAAGCTACTTTGTAAAAAATAACATAATAAGTTGTTTGTTAATATTGAGAGACAAAAGTTAAAGAAAATCTTTATTTTATATTTATAAATAAATGGTAGCTAAATAATAAATGTAAAACAAAAAAACAATTCACATTAAATGCATATTTTATTTACAAACTTTCTTTTTTTGTCTGAAAATATGCCCGGAGCAATAGTAGAGCATTTAAGGTTTGGTCATTTAGCCTACTCCTTATTTTACTTCCCAAATACCCAGCTGCAGAAAATGCCCACTCAGGTTCGATGCTCGTCGGTGGAATAGATAACAAATATTGGTATACTAATTCCAAATTATGCCCCCGTGCCCCCGTTTCCACCATTTTCAAACAGATGCGTTTCTTTCTTTATGATTGACATTAAATTTGAAGTTTGTGTTTCTGGTTCAATGGCTTTCATGCTTTGTGCAATTTGTTCTTGTAACTTTTCTCTTAAAGACAGGGAGGCTCGAACTTGTGATTCTTCATTTCTAACGACAGCCATTATATTTTCATCAACATCAATACTTGATTTTTCTAAATTATCATTTTTAAAAGCAGCTAGTCTCTCAATAAGTTTTTTTATCTGCTTCCTAATAAGGGTTTTAGGAGAAACTCCAAAAATTTTGCAGATATTTGTTTTATCATTCACAGCATCATATTTTGGATTTTGAAGGTATTTTAAAACACCAGAAATTTCTTCACATCGTCTTTTTTCCATTCTTGTTTTTATAGCTTGGAACATTTTATTAGCAAAGGGAGATTGTTTTTGAGCAATCTGCTGGAATAAAAATATAAGTACTGCATCTGCAGTGCATAGATTAGCATCTTGTCTGCATAACGCATCTACTGCTAATTTGACAGGTGCAAGTACTTCTATTATTTCCGAAAGAACCACAAAATCACTTTCGTTTAAGGAAACTGGGTGGTTTAAGTCAATTAAAGCTTTCTGTATACATGTTTTTAAAGCAAGGAAACGCTCTAGCATCGATAGAAGAGAATTCCATCTTGTTTTGCAATCCAAAATGAGCGAAAGCTCGCTGCCTTTCTCTTCTTTGACATATTTTTGCAAGACTGCATCTTTTTTTGTCGGGGATCGTTTAAAAAGAACAACTACCTTACGGGCTTTTTTCACTAGTTCATTGATATTTTGTTCATTGGTGAGTAAATCCATATTTGCTATCCCATCATTTGTTTGGGGAAGAAAGCCTAATCCCATTTCCTCGTCGATATTTTCTTCATCTTCGTGATTATCTGTTTCCTCAACAATATCTTGAGTTTCCTTCAATGGTGCTTCGGTGTCGGACATTGGCGTAGAACTTTTTTTATAAAGAACATCACAAACTGCAAGGTGAATTCCATGGACTAAACACAACTGGTGTTCAGCCTCAATAATTTTTCCCACTTGAACCATTACATTTGGACCATCTGTAACAATAGCAATAATGTCTGTATCAATCTTAACATTATGCTCCTTTAGACGTGTTTTGAAAACATCAATACATTTCTTAGCATTCATAGAACCATATACACGAATAAGACTCAAATTCCAGTGCTTATTTGGGATATGTACATTAATATTCATGTATCTTTTATTTGTTGTAGAGGTCCACTCATCAAAGCTCAGAGAAAATTGTATTCCCAAAGCTTTATATTGATAAATTTCTTTGGAAATTAACTGTCTAATATTTGTGAGCTGTAACTCACCACTATCCTTTTAATTGAGTTTGCTGACTTGGGCAAATTTTTGAAACCACTGGTAATCAGTAATTGCCTTAAATCTTTTGATGTTATAAATACATTAAATGTTAGCCTATCTAAAGCTGTCATTCAAGCCTGTATTTCGTTTTTTTTTTTTTTTTCTGATGCAAAGTAACTTGTTATTCTTCGTTTCGTAGGAGGCTTCTCGTCAGTTCTGGCATCATTCAACTGTTGACTCGAACTAGGTAAATTTTTGTCGGCTGAAGTTACTTTCAAATTATGCTTAGTTGATAAGTGCGTATGAAGGCCTTTTGTAGAACCACCCAATGTTTTCAAAATTACACCACATTTCTTACATTTTGCTGCCAAATTATCCGCAGACTTCAAATAATGTGACCACACTGAAGTTGGGTCTTTATCTTTTTTGTGTAGAAAAAATGATGTTCCCTTTTCACTCTTTTCATTCATGTTTATAAGGATTTTTTTTTCAGGTGCATTAGTAAACAACATATTATTGTGGTAAACAACAAAAACATTAAAAAGGTTATCAGTTCAAAACGTTCAAAACGATTCATTCCACAGTCAAATTTTGTATGTATTCACACTAGAATTCCTTCAAGCGGAATTAATTGTCAAGGGCATTATAATGTTGCAATAACTAATAATTGTACAAATATAATTATACAAATCGCTAGAAATATCCCAAAGGGAATTGTTATGTAGTAATCATTAAATTTTTTTAGATATAATTTTTTTTTTATTACTTGTTCATTTTTATTTTTTTCATTCTCTAAAAATATTTTTTGAAATGAACAAAACGACTTAATAAACTCAAGCAATCACTTAACTACAAATTCGCTCAACAATTTTAAAATTTATCTTTTTAACGCGAGAAGTCTTGCCAACAAACTTAACGATTGTTTTTTATACAATAGTCAAACAAACCTGCCTTAATTTGTGTTTGTGAAACTTTTTTCAATGATAAAATCCCGAACTCCATGGTCTATTCAAAAATTTGTTCCATTTATCGTAAGGATAAAGCATAAACAGGATAAACCTGCAAAGCAGCATTATATAACTCGTTATAATTCAGTATAGTTACCAACTTAGAACATTTTGTTTTACAAAATAATTTAATTAGTTCAATCCTGCTATAATCCCGAAAATCCCGGGGTTTTGTGTTTAGAATCCCAGGATTTTTGGGACCCAAAAACGTCCGGGATCTCGGGATCCAGGTTCCCGGGATTGCAATCCCTACTCATGATATAAAAAATCAATCAATGAAAATGAATGTTAGAAATACTTGTAGACATGAATAATACTTTTAAAACTTAAAAATAGAAAAGATTTTCAGCTTTTTAGAAATCTTCTGTCTATTATTTTTTAATTTCTTTTACGTCCTAAAGTTCCTGAGTTGTTTATTTGCTACTCTTTTACAATCCTAAACTCCAACACATGAACCTTTTTAAACAAGGTGAGAAACATGTTTTGAGGGACTTTTACAGTATTGATCAAACTTAAATTTCAAACCTCCTGACAGTGAGTTTAATCTTCTATCACTAATCTATTTACCGCATAATAAGTAAAGCCTTTGATTAACTTTATGCTCTTCTCCGTTCCATTGTTGACCACTAAAGTTTTTAAGTATTTTAAAAAATCTTTATTACTAACACATGTCTTACACAAACATCAAAATTTTTGAAAACCAACTAACTATTCTCATTCACTATTTTAGCTAGTTACAGAAGTAATGACAGCTGGTTCTGGTTTTGAACCACCAAACTCCTCCATAACATCATACTCTATTAGTCAGTTCAAGTTACTTTTCAGGTGCTGGCTTCCTTCATTTGAAGCTTTTCTTGTTCAGTTATCATTTTATGGATGTCTTGAGTCATGTAATGGATTACAATATATATTGTATCTTAAAAAATCTTGTTTTTTGATACGCCCTAAATTGGTGAATGCAATAGGGGCTTCCATAAAACCACTGATCCACTTTGTACACACCTCTATGCTTTTGAAAACCCCCTCCCCCTCTGCGTACCCATGCATTATTTATTACAAAATCACCTACCCCAACCGCAGTGCATAAATTTTTCAAAACATTAAAGCAAAAACTTTTAGTTAATCCAACATTTCTCTGGTGAAACTTAATTATTTTGTTAAAAAAATCATGTTTAGGAAAGGAAAGAGAACAAGAGATAATGAAATCATAAATATAC